AAATAAAACACTTCTGAAAATACTGTTATATAATTTGCACATATTAAGGAGAGACTGCATTTTACTTAAAAATAATGAAAGAGAATGTGGAAAAGCGAATCTATTGAATGTAATTGAAGTGCTACAGTAGGAGAAATTTAGAGTTTAAAAAAGAAAAAAAGGCCAAGGTACTGTCACTTTGTCATTGTGCCATGAAAAATCATATTTAAAGGTAATGGCAAGCCCTTATGCTGTCAGAGCAAAATGTCCTAGTTCACTGACACAGAGAAATGGTTTCCTGAGAAACTTGTTCTTCTGTTGTTGAAGAATGATGAGGCTCAATAATTCTGTGGGAAGAATGGTCCTAACTACTTGAAACACTGCTATGAGAAACACAGTAGCATTTCCATAGAGCAAAACATTGTAATTATAGAAGCTTCTTTTGGAAGTTGATAAGATTTCAGTTATTTGTAGCTCTACTTCAAAGCAAATAAAACAATAGCAAGTGTTGACCAAAGGAACACAGCAGATGACCTGTATGAGTCCTGATTTTCTTGGAAGAGAAAACAGCAAATTTTTGCTGAGTGAGTAGCTGTATTAAAGAGGTCATCCTCTTTCTTGAGTAAAGTTTGCATAATTTCTGTGAACTCTTTCAAGAATTCTCCTGATGTTCTTTCAGTTCTCTTCCCATTTATCTTTTGCAGCTGCATGTGGCCATAGAGAAGATAGGCTTGAGTTTCCTATTAGTCATTTAAAGCCCTGGCCAATTCAAGTACAGTTTTGAGAAGCAGCAGTGAAAGACATTGGCTATCAGCCCGTAACTGTTGCTTTGTACTTGGCTTTTGGCTATTGTGAGGAGGGCATCTGACCCAAGAATGAAAGAAAACAGAGCATGGGAGAATGCTCCAAAACTCTTAAGTGCCTTGATGTGCTTTGCTTAAAAATTTTTGATGCATTAAAATGTTGAAGTATGGAGAGGAAATAATCCTGTGACATCTTACAGTTTTGTATAAGAAGCAAATACTGTTTTAGTGTAGCACATTTCAGTGTAGGCACTCTCCATCCCAGTGGGAGAGCAACTGCATGGCAGAGGGATACTAGCTGTAGTCAGATCCTTGCACTTCTGCAATGCTCTAGGACATCTATCTAAAATCTAACATTGTCTTGCTTTAATTTATCGTTAACGTTGCTCTCTGTAAGATGTATTTCTTCATCTAAAATGAAATTTTGTGAGAATACAAATGCTCAAATTATTCTGTTTTATGAACTAAATTAAAAAAAAAAACCCTGCATTACAGGGTGTGGTAAAAAGCAACTGAAATATCTATTTAACATGTACAGTAGAATATTCCAGATGAAAGCTTTAGATTATTGTACTTTATTCAACATCAGATATACAGAAGGAGATGCACGGTGTTTGTTGGTTATACTATTAGTTAGGTTTGAGATCCATACGTGATATTTTGTTGCTCATACCAATTAAAAACTTCACAGAGTACTTTGTTTCAGGTACTAATTGCAGTTTAGCAACTAAAAAGAAATCTGTTGAATAAGATGATATTATGATTTTAATAGTAGTTGCTCCTTAGAGAAAAACAATCCGTGAATCTTGTTTATATTCTCTCCCACCTATTTGATATCCAGTAGCAATAACAAACACGTTTAATATGCACAAGAGGCTTAAATGGGCTGGGTAGGCATTACAGTCCTGTAGCTGTCCTAGAATTCCGGTGAAAAACAAAGGTTAAATCTCTCTTTTTACATGGATGGAAGATTTGCATGTTTAAGGGCTTTGTTCATATCTGGTAGGGATGAACAGGAAAGGATGGAATATTTGGTTTTTTTTTTTTTTTTGTGGTTATCCATCAGTGAAATCATATTTACTACCATTAATTATGGCAGATGGATTACTGTAGTAGTGACCACATAGAGAATGTTTGGAAAATGTAATTGTGACAGAATGCAAACCTTTTAGGTGACTTACTTTTTAATATTGTTACTTCCTGCATAATCGTCATCTCTGGGAGTTTACTTTTTTCACGGTTGTAGTGGAACATTTATCCGTTTGCTGTCCATGTTATAGTTGTTAGAAGTGTATTTAACGTTTTTTTTAACACTATATGCCATTTCCTTATGTTCTCCTACTGTTTTACAGTTTTGTTAATGCACTGAAATGTCATGCTGGAACATGCTATGAGTTGATTACTCACCCTTCTCCCAGAAAACCCTAGAAGCCTTTCCACATTCTACTTTGACCAGTGGCACAGGCAGTACACAGCCCCTTCAAGTACATTTCCATATAGACACATGGACAGATTACAGTAGCAGTAGTACTCTTGCTGTTGCAATGGTCTACAGTCATAGGCAAGATGAGCTATTTAAGTGTAATATCTGTTTCTAATATATCTTTTTTAAAAAAAAATAGGCCATTTTCAGGCAAACAAAGCTTTCTTTGAATTAGGTGCCAAGGATAACTTTTTTGTTTTTATTTTTTTAAGTATTGCATTTTTCACAGTTTTAATCAACTTTGTCACAAGCCCAATATAGGGTTAGTAGGTTGACCATTCATTGAAATCAGCATCTGTATCGTGTATCATTTGAAGTTTTAGAACTTGCTCAGTAACTAAGTTGTCTTATATTTGTTTGAGGTTTTTCATTTCTTTCAATAGTTAGGAATGTAATTTTTTCGTATTCTGACATGGCAGTTTCTGTTTGTTCATCACTTATCTTTGTTTCATGCTCTCATTCTGTATAGCAGTAAGTGAAAAGTAATAGATCATTTTTGTGTTGGAGTAGGATTTGCTTCAAGTGACATCCTTGAGTTATTAATTTCAGAGGTTTTGTATCAGTTTTGTCAAATATTATATATTTCACCTTGTTGTCTGAGTAATTTGTTTCATGCATCCGTCTACTAAAGTTCAAAGCTCAAATGTTCCTTATAGTACCTTTTCTAATGACTGTCTCAAACAGGTGCTGAAAGGTTGACTTAATTGCAGTTGGTTAATATAGATAACAAAAAAAGTGTACAGTTTTCTTCTCGTAAGCTCCTGGTATTCTGTGGTCTGTGGATAATACACAGTTAATGGATGAAGCATTGAGGTGTCATGACATCATTAAACATGAAGAAGTATACTGTCTTGTGTTCCTTGGACCTAAAAAGAATTGGAATATACTGATTATCTTAAGCTTCAGAGTTGAAATCCTGAAGATATTTTCGTGTAATTTGTTTTAATAGACTTTGTGAGCTCAAGGAGACCACTGACACTGCAAGATTAAAGATGTTACCTTGCCAAGCTGCTTACCAGAAAAAACAGCAGCGTCTTCCTTGAGCGATTTACAAGCAGGCTTTTCAGTGCAGAAAAGGAACCTTCAGTACAGATATGGAGTTTTATAGAGGGAATGGCCAACATAGATTATATATGTCATCAGATTTTATTTCAGCGATTGTTACGGTTTTTCACTCTTGCAGATAAACATAAAAAATAATATTTAATATATTAAGTACTGTGCTTTTTATGAAGCTCTGAAGGTATTTTGTAAAGTATTTATTAAATGGAAAAATAATTGTACTAAAATACGTTTGTCTAAATATGTAGTGATTCCAGACATAAGAGGAAAAAAGTCACTGTGTGTAAGATAACTTTAAAATTTCAAGTAAAAACTATATTACTCAGGAAATGACCTCAGTTTCCTTTTACATTCTCGTTGTTACTTTTGACTAGAATCTGCAAGCATGATGGAATCCTAAGGAACTTACATTCATGTTTATTAAAAGGAAAAAAAAGCAACTTCTGTGCATGAGTGTTTGCAGTATGACCTGTATTTATCAGATTCATCAGAGAAAGCCTGATAAGTTATACGTCATCTATTATTTTGCAAATCCAAGTTTTCATAATTAAGTAGAAAATATGTGAAATTGACCTTCCTCATCAGTAGGTTCAGCCTTTCCTTTGGCTATTTTGAAAAGTTTACTGTGTTCATCTGAAGATCCTCACACTTCTTGGTAAAGGCAGTAAGATGATACTCAGTAATGGGAAAAAAGGAAATCTAAACAAAGAAGTCTAGTGTTTTTTCTCTGTTTAGGCATGGATAACTTCAGCTCTTTGTGTATATTTATCTTCTGTGTCTAAAACACGATCTACTAGGATGAAACTTCGCTTCTGGTTTTCACACTTTATACGTTCTGAGACGGGGCGTTATCAAAAAATGTTGTAAGCATTGGTTAGATAATGAAAAATGTTGAGAGCTTAGTGTGGAGGAAGAGAAAAAGTTGGGTGTGAAACGCTTGGCAGGTTTTTTAGTAAAACTAAAAAAAAAAATCTAAAAAAGCAAATTTCACATCAAAATTTACAGCACTTGATTACGTCCTTGGTGAAGTCTTAATGTTTGCTCAAAGGAATAGCGTCCCTCATAACTTTGAGATTATAATCAATTGAAAGCAAGCACTATCTAGTCGTTGAAGAATTGCACCATGAAATCTAGCTGCGTCCTAAGATGGACGTCACTATATTAAGAAATGAATGCATCAATACAGTGTAGAATGAGTAGATTGCATATAAAAATGATATCTGTCAAAGGCTTGCTCTTTACAGATTGACAAAGCTGAAGTGAAAGAATCGGCTTTCCAGTTAAATATTGAGTTAATGGTAACAGTGATTTTTATTTTAAAAAAAATAGTAAAATTGAATTCTCTCCCCCCCACCCCCACATTGACAACAATCAAGTAAAGTTCTCTTTAAAACAACTTATATTGCTCCTTGAGTGTGCTTTCCCATAGTTCCTGAAAATCTTTTTCTCTTCCTAGGTTTTGTTGTTGTTTTTCTCCAAATGCTTTCAAGTTCTTGATTCTTTGTCCTGTTTACATAATGAACACTTGATGTGCGGTTTTCAAGCATCAGTGATAACAGTCTATAAAGAAATACAGGCTTATTTTTTGATTTCAATGTGAGTAATTTTCCCAGAAAAACTGTTCCAATATTTCCTACCCCGTATGTTTCTTTTTGTTCTTCCGTCAGGATCTACACTGCTGGGCGTAGTTCTTCCTTGTCAGTAAATGGAGAGAGTACAGCAGAATCTACCAATGCTATTTTTCTTGAATTTCTTCCTAACTCAGAGAGCCCAGTTTATCTCCATCAAATAAAACAACTTAAAGTGTGTAAGTGTATTTTTGTTTATCCATCTTCATCTGTAATCATTTCAACAAATGTTTTTTCCTATCAAGTCTAAGAAAATAGAGGGCACGTAGTTCTCTATAGCTGTCCTTCCACTGAGCACCTTTGGCCCCAGAAATCTCTCTGTAATTTTGAACTTTTCCTAACAGAATGGCTGCAGTGTGGCCCTATCGTGCAAGAAGAGTGATAGTGCTGTTTGACACTACAACATATTGCTGTTTCTTATCCTCACTTCAATATTTGATACTGTATGTACCTAAATCTCCAATATCCTGACCAGATGCTTCTGTTAGAGATGAAAAGAGAATCATAACGGTGAAGACCTTTGTAAAATAAATAGTTGGACAGCAGACTGCTAAGCTAATTTACCTAGGTGAGATCTGTTTTGCTGACTTCTGGTGGGTGCACTGAATGTTACTGTGCATAGAGGCTCCCTGCTTCTTGCTGGCCTCCTTGCCCCTGTCTGTACAGGTCAGCACTTGGTATATTCATGCAGACAGAGCAGCTCAAAAAGATCATGCACCTTGCTGGGCACATGTGTATGCAGCTAATGCCATGCCCTCAGAGTCTTGCTAATGAAACAACTCACTTCTGTACATGAGTCTGCTTTGCTGCAAACATTTGTTTAAAAAGCTCTCAGTTTTTACCTTTTGCTTTACTTAAGACCTCTTTAGTGACCCTTGCTTCTCAAGGAGAAAAGTCATGTAACTCAGCATCATGAACCACACGTGAAATGTTCTTTTAACCTAGAGCCTTTTGCATAAATTTCCAGAACGTAGAGGAAAAATACAGAACTTAAAACAAAAAAAAAAAAAAGGGACTGGTATGGGAAGGGCTAAAGCTGTTACTGAGCTTTACATCTCTTTTATGTGAGGGTGGGGAGCATCCTTTCTTTTTGCGTCTAGACCTTTGAGCAGTGACTGTGGTGTGAATGCCTGGTTTCCCATAGCCTGTAGTGAGCAGAGCTGCACAGTGGGAAGTCTATACCCACAGTCCATTTTGCACCTGTGATTCAGCTTGCAGACATCACCAGAATCTCACTGCGGGCTGACTCAGCGTCCTCCTTCTCTGCTGGAACACAGTGCGCTGAAACTGCTCTGTAGCAGATCATGTTGATGTGAATTGTTTATCAAATTTGTGACTGAACCATAGTCACAGATGGTAGTCTTACTGTCCAACAGAAATAGTTCTTGGTTCATGGCTCTTCTGAGTGGCTTCTGTTATTTTCTCCTTTCCTCTCCCCGTCCTATTTTTTTTTTTTTAATTTTATTTTCAGTGTTTTCAGGCACGTGTCACATGCAAAGGTGTATTGGGATTTTGGGGGAGGATATCAAAACTTCTATGCCTGTTCATAGGGAAGTATTAGAAAAGCCTATGGGCAGATAGTGTAGATAATTAGGAACTACGTAGAACTGCTGCAGGCTCAAGGGATGTTTGCAGGCTGCAGAACATTCCTAAGGGAAAGAAATTGCTCTGTAATTACAGGCAAGGTCAGTGCAGTCAGTTTGATGGAAAAGAGATTGTAAGAGCTGGGGCTCCAGTGGAAGATGTTTGAATGTCATTAACAGGACACAGGTGTTCTTCATGTTTTAAATTATTGACTCCTGAAATCTGTGTTGTAAAGGTGCTCTCTGTGCTATGAGGATTGTGGCCCTTTTTGAGAGAGAAAATGCACAGTTGTAAGTGAGGGGATTTCTTGTTTACATTTCTTTTGTTATCCCTACATTTTACTTTCTTTACGTTTCTTTTGTATCTCTTCAGGTTTTTTAATGAGTGCTTCATTGGTGTATATCTACAATAGGTCTAAAAGGAGAATAGCCTTTATTTGTACATTCTTCATCTTTCGACATCTGTCTGAAGTGTTTCACTCACCAAAATTCATTTGAAAGTGGGGTGTTTTTCCGTAGCTGGTGGGTAGCCTTTACTCTAGGACGCTCTGGTAGCCATCTCAAATTCATCCCTCAAGAGATGAGCTTTGTGGTTTGTTTTTTTTTTTTTCCCCCTTCCTCTGAGGGCAAAACACTGATTTTTGGAAACACGCTGTGGCCAAAATTCATGATAGAAAGCATTCAGGTGGTAGTACTAGCTGCAAGTATTCCTTCCCTCTGCTTCAGAGCTGTTTCTACTGTAGCGCCCCAGCTCCTCAGTTTTGCCAGGGCAACTGCGTAAAGGACTGTGCTGAGGACAGTAACAGGGACTGATTGTTTAAAGCGAAACAGAAAAATCCTTTGAGCACAATTCAAACTGAGTGAAATCGGGCTGCTGTGGTGTACCTCCCGCCGCCTTTCTTACACTGGCAGTAGTGTTGTTGCATGTGCCTTATAAGTTGAGTAAAGAAGCTGATCCAGACGCAGGTCAGTCAGTCAATGTTTTTGAAGGGTAAACTTTCAGCTAGATCAGTGTGAGCTGGCTCACGCGCAGTTGTGAGAGGGCAAGAGCTTGTGTGAGGAGAGGCTGGAGAGGCATCCTTTGTTACAAGGGAAAGTAAGAGTGAGCCTAAATCTAGTAAATCAGATGCAAATTGATTAAAGCTGCTTTCAGACTTCACTTCTAGAATTTTCAATTGGAACATTTCCCTGATACAGTTCAAAGTGCAGCACCTTGAACAGTCATCCTGGCATAAATGAGGGCATGCTGTGGCATGCTTGGGGGTGGGAAAGAAGCGATGAGGGCTGTGGAAGCAGAAGTATCTTCATTTTGTCTGGCAGTTGAATGTTTTGTATTGTGAAGTCCAGCCTTAATGTTGTTTTTCTGTGTTGCAGCCCCTTTATTTCTTGGCTGTGTAAATGTAACTGACCCAGCATTATTTGACATGGAAATTTGCTGTGGGAGTCTTTGATTAGCAGCTGATTAAAGGGACTTGCAGCAGTTCTTGCAAAAGTGAATGTATTCATTGGGCTAAAGTACATAGTTGTTAAAGTGTTTAAAAAGAAAACAGAAGCTAAATATTATCTTTTTCTTGTGTGTTTTTGAAAGTTCTATTTAGCTCAAATACCTTAACCTTTAGGCAGAGAGAGTGTTCTGTGCCCTTTTTTTTATTTTCTAACTTCTTTTCCACCTGAACAGTACTACTTCTCATTTATCTCACTTCTTCCATAGGCAGGGTTTTTAAAAACTTACTATCTTTTGTATCTTCAGGGCCCAGCCTTTTGGAGAATGTATGTGAATTTGCCACCTCCCAGTTAAGGACCTTTGGTGTTTTTCTTGAAGATGTTTTTCCTGAAGGCTTTTAAAAATTTTTCTTGCTTGCTCCTCCTAACTGTATTTTTTCCGTTCAGTTCTCATTTAGTTGGATAGTATAACATCAAGCAGCCAAAAAAGCAGCCAGTGGGGTATATATAATAGTTCTAGAATAGAAATAATGCAGATATTTTCCTTATTCTTCAGAAAAGACAAGTTATACATGAAAATAATCTTACACTTTTTGAAGTGTAAGTAATGTGTATATACTGCCTTGTCTCTGTTACAAGAATAGAAGAAGGACATTCAGCACATCAGAAATACCAACCAGCTACTACTTTTTCATTTTCACTTCTCTGAAATTGTTGAGAAAATCATTTAAGAGCAAACAAACAAACAGAACAAAAGTTAAGCATCTTCTTTTTTTTTTTTTTCTTTCCTCTATTTTTCCTTTGTCTTTCTAGGAGTGAAGAACGTTTGCATAACCATTAGCTAGCTTCTTGGTATTAGAGTTACGTCCTCCAAATTCCAATGATAGTTGTGTATGTGAACGGAGGGTGAGAACCTCAGTGTCTTGTACCACGATGGAAGGTGAATGAATCAAAGGTAATTAGAGGAGATGAGTGAAAGAAGAAGAAAAACTACTTATTCAGGCCAAAAATTACATTTTCTCCCCATGGAATTGTCTCTTTTTTAATAGAAAAGTGTTTTGTTTTGTTTTTTGTGGTTTTTTTTTTTTTAAACTCCCACACCAGTTATCCTGTCTTGTTTGTACTTTAGCCTTTTAGGAATTGAGTAGTTCATTTTGTTAAATCATTTTTCTTTCATTTTGGATAGGAATATTTAATACTTCGAGTTACTTTGTAAGCTGAGCTCAATGGATACAGGAGTCAAAATGGATTAGCTGGTCAGCTTCCAGCTCTGTAGTATTTAGCCTATAATATAGTGACTGAATTGCAAGAAGTGCTGCTTGTGCAGTATTGTGTTTAACAGTAATCTTGAAGGTTATTTCCGCAGTTGTCCCATTTTGCGGGATCATCTGCTATCAGCCTCTACAGAACCAGTTAGGTTTGATCTTTTAGAGCAAAATGCAAGTTTGTGGTCTCGGTTTTTAATTAAAATATCCGTCTTCATGGATATTGATATATATTTTTTCCTTTCCTGGACTGTGAAGGAAGGGAAAACTGCTGGTTTTTTTGGTCTCTTGAGCGGTTGATGGGAAGGAAGTCTGATTGGGCTGAAAAAGCCTGAAATTTGGTAGCCCGACTTTTCAAAGACTCTGTAGCTTTCATTTCTTTCTGTAGATTTTTTGAATGGTCAGAATCTTTTAAATGCAGACTGTGAGTCTGTCTGTCTGCCTGTCTGTCCTATCTGGGTAATGAATAATTTAGAAATACTCTGCATTCCCCTGAATTTTCCTTTTCACTTTTCCCTCCTGTCTTAATCTCCTTTTATCCTCACCTTTGGATATTCTACTTTGAACCCTGAAGAGTGGGGCTGTGCAATAAGCAGAAGATGCTGACAAGCTTACTACTGTATTGGTACACTTGGCTGTGCATGACTTCTTTCTGTCAACAGAAGAGAGAGACATCAATGAAAGATGCATGAGAACAAGCAAATGTGTTTCTGGTTGTCCAACTGCAGCTTAACACTTGCATTTTCATAGAAGCTAATGGAAACAGGCAGTAAAAATGTTGAGTTAAACATTGGTACTGAAAAGATGAGACACTCAGTAAGCTCATGTTTTTAAGGTAATATATAAATTTACTCCTATACAGTGGAAACATAACCTGCTGCTTTTTTTGCATTCAAGAGGAGCTACGTTGGCCCAGCAAAAACAGAATAATTGTGGATCCTTGGTCTTTCCTGTGTCACAAGTCTAATGTGCTTTTGTCTCATTAGGTGTCTGTAGTTAAAGAACTTGTTACATCGCTGGGCGTAGACTCAAAATGATGCCAAAGTATGGGTTCAGGCGGGCTCTCCCTTTGTTACAGGGGAAAATTCAGAACAAAGATGTTTTCAGCTGCACTTTAAGTGAGAGTATATAAAAGAAGATTACTACTACTTGTCAATATTTAGTGACCTACTAGTGCCAGAAACAATTTACAGCAAAAATGAACACTTTTTCAGGATCCGTGAACTTCTATGATTGTCTCTTGTCCCATTCAGAAAGAAAAATGCATTAAGCTTGATTGTAAAAACCTGCAGTTAGAAATGTAGTTTGGAAGCATTTCATCTGAAAAGCTGAATATGCTTCATGTAGGGTGTCTGTACTGAATTCAGACCAATACTAAGATTGTGTAAATAACACCTAGCTCTTATATATAGTGCTTTTCACCTTCAGCTCTTTCAAGTGCTTTACTGTAGAGGTAGTAACTTAATTTATGTCTTGTGGTGGGCAGAAGAAGGCAAGGCAACTGGTTTAAATGTGTAGAAAGGAGCAAAACTGTGGGACTGCAACAAATAGATGCAATGGCAACAGAATAAGGGGGGAAGTGACTACACAAAGTACTGATGTTCTTGGGAAGACTAGCTTCTCAGTATTTTAATTAGGTTATCTCATAAGAATTATCGGGAGGGTAGAACTGAAGGAGAAAGGCTAAACTGCGATTGTATAGGGATCTGTAATTCTTTCCATTCCTATACTTTGGGTGCTTGATACTGCAACCTTAAAAGTGTTTTTTTATCTGTCTACTGAATGCAAGTACAACATATAGGAAAGTGTTGACTTTCACTGATTTAAAGATAAACATATTCATGTAGAGATTATTGTGTTCCTATTGATGTACATGAATGATGACTGACTCTATTCCTTTTGCATTAACTTTCAGATATTTTCATTCTCTCTGTCCAGCTTTTCTAGTGCAGTTAGGATATTTTAAAGCCTTTGAGTAATCCTGGAAATAATGGTAAAAGGAGACTCAAATAAGAGAATGTTATTGGCCAAGAGGCAGAGGGTCCTTTTCTCAAGCTTTGTAATTTTATATGCAGTGGACAAGGACAGACATTATATACAGAGTTTATGCAAAGCCACTGGATCTATAATTGTCCATATTTTAAAATTCACCCTTAAAGATGTAGTACTTGCACGGTTCAGATAATTCTGTTAAAGACTTAATCATGTGCTCTTACTGATGTTTCAGACTTTTTCTTTTTTCTGAATAAAGACAGTTCTGTTACCTCCCTAGGACTAGTGAAGAGCTGCATCAATACAGGTGCTGCTGTCAGTTGAGGAAAGTAATGTTCAATGTCTACTCTGGAATGCAGATCTGTTATTTGTTAGGAAAACCCTAGCGTGTTCGCAGATAAGAGCGCTGACTTTTACAGATCAAGCTTGTATATAGGATAAGCGTAGAATTTCTTCAAATCATTGTATTCTGAAAATTTTTTGAAATTTTCCTGTATATGAACTTTCTTCGGGAAGTAATTGACGAAGACCATAAGTCTGGAAATTTAAAGAGCGCTTCACAAATCCTTATCATGCTATGATGAAAACAGTTGCAGGCAGTCCTTTTTGTAAAATCAATTGTTGGTTGGTTGTAACACTGAAAAGCTCTGATAAGAGACTCACCAGGCCTCATGGACAGAGTATTCCTGATAAGGGTGTTATTCAGATTGTGTTGTAAGCTAGTTCATGGCCTTGCTTTGTTATCTATAAATTTGTTTCTTATTTTTTGTCTTTTTTTGATTATTATTGGTATAGCTGTGCTAAACTGCAAAAAATGGTTAGTTACTCAAAATATGAGGTTAGTACAGTGCCATATGTGATACAGACAAGATCATTTTTACATCTCTGATGAATGTGATGCATGCAATTCTTAATGTTAATGAGTGCTCTTTAGCAATAATTGTGTAGGTGCAATAACTGCATCCATGTGTGCTTCAGATGCATCTTTTGGAATGTCTCGCATACCTTTTTGTTTGGTCTCGTATCTATATATAACTGCATATGGGTAATTTTTTTCATTTTTCAAGTGGAGACTTATTCAAGACTTGAGTAGTCTTTAAAATTCATCTATATTTATTCAAACTTCTAAGCTTTCATTTTGCAGTACCATAGGTTTCCCGAAAGTAGGAACTCAAGCCCCAGAGGAGTCATTTCAATCCTTTATTCTTTTGAGGCTGATAACTTTAGCACTGTACTTCATGATTTGTGTCTCTTGGTGTCTAACTATACGTCTGTTCTGTAACTGTTACCTTCCTTCCCTAGCCTCACTTCAAAAAGTTGTGGAATCTTTCTTTAAGAATGTGCTCCAGTGGCTGTGGCCAGATTTCCTTTTTTTCTCTGATGTATCCTTTCTGGATACATTTTAGTAGTTTTGCATGTCCTTGGTGGAAATCTTTGGGAACTTGAAAGAAAACTTTATGGGGTGTGTGTGTGTGTGCGCGCGTGCGTGTTTAAAAAAAAAAAAAGTGCATATATGTCTGAATGTTGCACGTATATATTACAGATATTTTGTAAGCATCTAATATAAAATATTTAATCGTAATGCTTCAATTACTGTCACAATAATCCCTGCATCTCTGTCTAAGCTGTTTTGTGGCATATTTTTTCACTTTTTTTTTTTTTTAATGTGTGTGTGCTTTGTCTTGCAGAGTTGGAAGAAACCAGAGATTTCAAGCTTTGAATGACGGGTGTCTTACAAGATCACTGCAGCTAAGCTGAAAAGGCAGATGCAGCTCTGACTATCAGATTGAGTGAGCTTGTGCATGTACATGAATATACGCACGTTTCTGTTGTCACATAGACTTACGCTTGCATATTCCTGAGAGTTTCGCAATTGATGAAAATTAATTTAAGAACCAGATGGAGCACCTTTGCAACGCGAGAATCAGTAACCCGTGGAAAGGCACCTGCCACTAGTGTTCAACTTTCCACATGGTATGCACGGGTGAAAAAGATTTGCAAGAAGAAGAAGAAAAAACACCCTCTACACAGAAAAAAAATAATAAATACGTCCCCCGTCTAAATCAATAATTACAAGGGAAACAGAAGAAGACGGAGTAGAAGAAATCAACTTTGTTATTGCAGAGGAACAATGAATGATCTTTGGCACATTTTCCATTGGGCTCAATAGATTGTGACTGGACTAATAAATCGTGACCACATGTTGAGTAGTGATGACTGGAAGCAAATACGTTCAGGAACTATGGGACAAGTCTGGGCATTGAACTGAACAAACCTCGCTGTCCTTCTTGAGTTAGCCAGATCATCAAACTTGCATATTCTTTCTCCCTCTCCTTTTTCTTCTTTTCACTTAGTGTGGTATAAATACTAATTAATTGAGCTCATAAATGTTATTCAAATAAAACGGTTGGAATACTTCATATGTTTCCTTCTTGTACAGCTGCAAATGTTGTGTCTGGAACTATGAATCAGTGCTGTAGACAAGCATCAAGAAGGAAAGATCCACTCAAACAAACAAGGAAAATATCTAGAGAAATAGTGCAACCTGGAAGTCAGATTTTTAATGCTGCTTCTCTTTCTTTTTTAGATGATTATATTTCTTCCTTCCGTGAATTTTAGAAGATTTGAAAAGAGTGCTTATTTGATGTGCTTTAATTCTGGCATTTGTTTTTATGATAGGATGAAAAGTCTGTGATTCTTTGTAGCAGGAAAAAAAGGGAAAAGTAAAGGAAAAACAGCTTGACATTTAGCCCGTTTTGGACAAGACAGAACTTCATGGTTCACCTGAGGCAAACTTACCTGCTTTAAAAGCTTTAGAGGATTTTTGATTTTGCTAAGTGAAGAGGGGGTTTCTTTTTCATTCGTGTGTGGCAGCAAAAAGTGGGAAAGCAGGCAAGATAGCGTGACAAACGGTTCAGGCTGTGTTGGGTCTCTGGTGGAAAAAAAGTGCTGCAATGAAAATTGGATTGGCTTTGGATTGCAAAAACTGTTGAGTCCAACAAGTGGTTCAGTACCAAGAGGGATTTCCCATCTGGCCGGGCACACCAGTGCCTGCGCAAGTTCGGGTCTGTTGTTTCGCACGGTTTGTGTGCCTTTTTTTCCCTTTATGCAATCTCTTTCAGCTTTAGCAGCAGAAATACATCAGATGGAAACGATATGCCAGAGGGCAGCTTGGAAAAGATGAATGTCATATATATACATATATATGTATATGCGTGTGTATAAATTTCTGCAACTGAACTTTTGAAGAAAAACTGACTGGAGGAAATCTTAAAAGCCTTAAGTTACTTGAAACCTACACATTTGCAACTCTTTGTCTCTGGAATTGCATTACGCTAAACTGGAATCTCAGGCTGTATAAAGATTATATCAAGTTGAGCAAAAAGATGACTTAACCATTTCTTGAGCGCCTCTTAACGAAGTAGCTGCTTCTCCAAAGGATAAGTGCACCCTCACTCTATGGACTCGAAAACAAAAATGAACCTGAATTTTTTTTTAAATGTTACTTTTTCTTAGCCAACTGCCATCGTCTTTTATAGAGGAATTTTTCACTATGCATTTGGTGGATATTTATAAACACTGACCCCATCCTCTTCCCTTTCAATGATCTATCCCAGGTCAGTCTTATCAATAAAAAAAAAAATTGATTTAAATTTTGTGCACTAGACATATTACTTTCTTATGTCAAAAAATAAAATATTTAAAAAGCATGTATGCAGCAGTGGAACATGGGCCTGTTCTTTGCAGCGATTCCAACATCCTCTGCCTCTCCTGGAAAGGGAGAGTTCCCAAAAGTGAGAAGGAGAAACCAGTGTGCAGGAGACGATACTATGAGGAAGGCTGGTTGGCAACAGGCAATGGCAGAGGAGTTGTAGGCGTCACTTTTACTTCCAGCCATTGCAGGAGAGACCGGAACACCCCTCAGAGAATCAACTTCAATTTGAGGGGCCACAACAGTGAGGTAAGCAAACTGTGTGTTACAATTAAAGGTTGAGTTTGAAGCCAGTTTTAGAAACATTTAGAAGCAATAACATTTCTGTAGTGTTTCTGTTTGAAGTTTGATACAACAGTATAAAGGATGCTCAGGCTTAACTCAAATGTGCTTGGACTCCGTTGGAGTCTTTTCAGTAAACTCAAATGCATGAGGTTTATGGCAAGGAGAAAAAGGTGTGAGATTCTCTGGAAGTGGTTCTGGTTTTGGTTTGGCCCTTTTTTCCTTTTTCCTTCATCAGCTCCCAGCTTCCAGGCAAATGCAATGAATACATACAAGGGAGTTAAAAGTTGTGACAACTGAGTCTTTACATGGTATTAAAATCTGACTTGGAAGACTTATGGAATGGCAAGGTAGTGGGAGAGGAGCTGAGATAAAGTCTGCCTGTTTTTCAGAAATGGTGAAGTGGAATGCCCTGCAGCAGGCTGGAGTGGCATGAGATAGTTGTCATCTGAAGAAAAAACCTGTCATTTTGTTGGTGAAGAGGGCATGTGGGTCTCTACAGAAGAATGTTAAGATGCCCTGCAGTAATGTACTCTAACTTCAGTGCAAGGCATTGTCCTGACTACAGTGATACAAAAACTTTTTTTGTTTTGAAAGGGATATATTTGCTGGTAAAAGTTGATATTTCAGCTGTGTGTTACCATCTTCTTGGCACCTGCCTGTGTTTCTGCACGGAGCTTCATGCATTCCTTCCTGTGGAAACTTGAAGGAAAGTGTAAATGATGCCCAGTAGCATACAGAATATCTTGTACAGGTGTAAGGGTTTTGTTTCATTCCTTACTATTAAGTCTGTTTTGTAGTTAGGTCGCATTTGGATGGGCTCATTGAAAAGAACGTGCCTGAATCAAAGCTTTGGTCTTAGCATAGTGAGTGGAATGACAGCAAACGTACTGAAGTTAAAACCAAAGATACAATGCTGTTTTTCTTGTGTTTTGTGCTACTTACTCGTTTGACTTGCATGTTGCCCTTTTGACATTAGCAGCATCAGAGATTAAGGGGGGATTGGTTTTGGTTCTTTTGTTAATATTAATGACAGTTCTCTTTAAAAATGTATGTTGAAGCACTTATTTATGACTCTGTGTCTGTCTTTACACAGGAGTATGAATGTACTATAAGTTCTCTCTCTCTCTACCTGAAAAAATATATGTATTATAGATATAATGACAGTTCTCTTTAAAAATGTATGTTGAAGCACTTATTTATGACTCTGTGTCTGTCTTTACACAGGAGTATGAATGTACTATAAGTTCTCTCTCTCTCTACCTGAAAAAATATATGTATTTTATATATATATATATATATATATATATGTTTGCATAGAGTTCGGTCAAAAAATTATAGCCATATTTTCCCAAAAGGAAGAGTGGTGTTTGAATCCAGGATTCTGTTTTGGACCATCTCTCATTGTCAGTATCATGTTTAATTACAAATTACATTTCACATTTGAAAAATGAGATACAGCGGTGACTTTTTCATTTCTCTGTATTTTCTTCTTTAACTGTTCTATGTATCTGGGCACCTGTTTTTCACCTGCATAACACGTGTCTTGGAAACAATAGAGAAAGTGCTCTTCACGGGCCTGTGAAGTCTTGTTGTGGGACAAACATGGAAATAGGCGACTAGGTACAAGTCTATGCTAGCAAAGTGAAGAAGATGCTGGTGTTCACACTGCCCTTTGGTTTTGGCTAGTTCTGCGTTGCTTATTCAGTAGGCTGTAGGATTCTTTTTCTGGGTCAGTGCACTGTTACTCTGTGGATTGTGCTGTGCTGTTAGCGCAGCCTTTCACTTAACATTTATAGGCCCAAGAGAGATGCAAAATGCAACTGAAATGTTCTGTTTGAAATTTTGGGGATTTAGGTTCCTAAAATGTGCTGGGTCAAGCTGTCATTAGTGAAGAGAGTTGTGTTCGTGTAAATAATTTTCCTGGTAGTGGAAACTGTGCAGATGACCAGAAGAGAGGCTACCAATTCACTTCTCTGTATGGAGGTTACGAAATTGGTACGCTGGTGTCAGAAGTGAAGAGAAAAAGGTGGCTTAGAGCACCTAGCTTTCTGTAATGGGTCTATTGCTGTGGTCAGATTTTCCTGCTGGCCTAGTTCTTTGAGCACCGGTGTAAATGGAAGTTGGTCCTCACAAGATGATGTGCTATGTAACACTCTGTGCCAGGCCTACTGAATGTTGCTCTCTCATTTTTTAGGATAATTCTACTGATTTTGGTAGAGATGGAACTGTAATACAGAATTTTTCTTTATTTGTTAAAGGCATCGAGCTAAATGGGAGAGTAAGATTTTTTTTTCTTAGAAAATACCTTTCTCTCTAAATCTGTCTATAGAAAGATTCTTTAAAAGAGATCAAATTGTTGAACAGCGCCACTACCTAAAACTATTGGTAATGTATGCATAAGAAAAAATACGTATTTTGCTTTCTCTTTGTCATTTTCAAAAATAAGCTAACAGCCTTGTCTTTTCTGCTTGCCACCTGACACAATGGAAAAAATGTTAATTTTGCAAGCATATCCTGGTATGTGTGTCTGATTAAAGGTGCATTTGTACAGAGGAGGCCGAAAGGGATGTGACTGGCTTAATATTTAAGAACCAGCATGTATCATTGACCAGTGCTAAGACAGCGTTGTCTTGCCCCCAGAAGTGGTGATTTATACCTGTATATTCTCTCTGGGATAAAGCTAGTGCCACAGGTCAAGTTTATTGCTTTTCCAACACACAGTGCTGCTTTAATGTTAGCATACATTTAATTATAAAGTGTGAGTTGATAAAATGAGCGGAGTGGAAGTGGTGAAGATGCAAAAGCTAAATGCTTTTCATTTGGAGTATAATTAGCAATATGCTGTGGGCAGAGCAGTGCATCGTATTTCAGTTTTAGGGTGAAAATCTGCAAAAGGTAATGCAGCACTGTGCTTTGGGCAAGAACGTGACACTGTTGTTAACTGGATGGTGAAGGTGGATGTTAGTGCTGTATTTTTTGTGATGTTTTTATGATTGCTGAGAAAATTCACTGAAATTTCTTGGTCCACAGCTCTTTTTTTCTGACTGTAATAGCATACCAGAACAATTATGGATGAAGAATACCCAGGACCGAGTTGCTGACACACATACTGCAGTGGTGGAATCACATGACTCATAGCATCGAACAATAATTGCAAATGAAATGCTTTGCAGCGTGAGCCGTGGTTGTGTTTTAACAGTTATTTCAAGGTTGGTTATTGGGGTTCGGACCTAGGAAGTGGCTGCCCTATTACTTTAATTGGCAACCTGATGTTTTTATAGTTTCTAAGGAAAACTGTAAAGATTGAAATAAGCAGGTTCCATTTATTCTGTGACAGGAGGTTAAAATACTGCATTTTTGTAATAGAGCTTGTGTTAACCTGGGATAACACATCCTGATCCTTATTTAGATAAGGCTCTCGCCATTCTAGAATGAACAATTAAATGTACGTATAGCAAAAGAAGAAAGAAGCAACTTTGATGAAGAAGGAAGAGGGAATGTGTGCTGTGCAACTGTGCCCGTTTCACACGTGTCGTAGGAGCACTCCTCTGTTTCTGGCCATGTGAAGGGAGGTATGCCTCTCTGTGAGGTTATAGAGCAGACATGAATGATTGCAGCTGGGCACCGAGGCTCATGATTTGTTTTGGCTTTGGAGCTTTTCTCTTGGTCTGGGAGAACGTGCCAGTGGAGGCTGCTGTTTGGTGGGATTCTCATTTAAGTCTGGCACAAATTATAAAAGGTAGGAAAATGTGCTAGAATGTATAAATTAGCAGCCAAAGAGCAGAGATGTGATGGCATGAAATGCCTTTCCCTTCCCTGTACATTTAAATGTAATGCTATGCAGAAATTGGAGTGAAATGTGGAAGTTTTTGATTTTTACCGAACTTGGATTCCCTTGACTGCACTGGGGAGCAGTATTAGAAGAGTACTTGAGCACAATCCTTTAATGACTCTTGTTTCAGTAATGAATTAAAGATTAAAGGCAAAATACCTGTTCACTTCAGCAAGGTCAGGGTTTCACCCAGTGTGACCATCAGCTCTAAAGCATACAAGGGTGATTTTTTTTTTTTTATAGTGACATAGAAGTACGTGCTTTCAACTTCTGATCCATCCTGAGATCTCTAGACTGTTTTCAAGGAGATCCATGAAAGATAATTAAAGGTGGGGGTATATCCTCAATAAGCTTCAATTTGCATTATAGGATTTTCCCTTCTGGAGAAAAAATTGCAGGATGTCTGCAGATCAAGACAGATTGAGTGGCGCTGCTGTAGGCATTTCTTTTGGGGTGTTCCACTGTATTCTAGTTTATTAAGATGCTGATGGTTTTTATGGCACTTAATGTTTCTTAAGTTATTAGTATTTTTAAAAATGTTTTTCAGGTGTGTATTCTTTTCATTGTGCAAATATGACAATTTTGATATACTTAATAAAATTCAGTATGCTAATCGGTGGACTGAAACATTAAAAAGCAGTGCAAGACTATGCAAATGCTGATGCAGTGAATTCACTGACATGCCGAATACATCAGTAAAACTATGCATACTCAGTAATGTGCACATAAAATAAATTGCTCATTTATTTATATTTGACATTTTTGGAGTGTCTTGAATGACTATAATTAGCTGCAAAAAACATGCCTGTTTTGTTTACCCTGGAGTTAGAAGTAGATAAGGGCATAAACATGTCTCATCTGGGCTGTCAAATGAATTTATTTTTAGATACAGATTTTCAAAGGAACGCCGTCCCTTAAAAATATCAATAAATGTTGCTTCTCGTACTATATTTGTTAGAGAGGTCTCTTGACAGTTTCTGGTTTTGTTTTAGAGTGGAAGGTGGTTACAATTTCCTTTTCCTGTTTTAAAAGGAAAGCTTTTCTTTATTCTGTCTGCCTCTTTTGGGTGTCCGTGGAACTTCCAAGCAAGTGTGGCAGAGCAGATTCTTTGCAGAAGTCTGTTGCATGTGTA